CAGATATTGTCTGTGAAGCGTACTTGTGATAGCTTTCCTGTATGAAGCTGCTTCGAGCTATTTTTTCTGTAATGATTGTTTGTTAACGGTTACCGTAAATTTGAAGCTGAGACCACTACCCTCTGTATTCATTTCCTAACTGATGCGGAGATACTGTATTCACTATCAGCCAGATGCGGAGGAACCCTCTGATATTTGCTACTATTAATTTACCATCGAAAAGAATGAACGAATCAGAGAGCGACTGTCTGCTTTCCTGGCAGAATTGAACCCTCGAACCTTGCTACTAGAGCGGTGCTACTTCCTGCTGTCCCATTAGGCCAAAAATAGCAGTTTTTAGAGCAGCGCGAAAACTCATTGACATCGAGCAATGAATGCGCTTTAAGTATGCACTTAAGCCCATTTTTGTCTTTCAGGCCTTTCGTTATCTTCCTAGCGGGTTTAAATAAAATCTAGGCCTACCATATGATTTCCCGCAATGATACCAGCCAGGACCTTCTCTGGCTTTTATCCGGAAAAAAACAAATATACCCGGGCATATCTGAACATACTCGTATCCGGGACAAGGTAAATATATCCGAAAATTTAGGAATTGGGCCACGAAGTTAGTAAAATCTCAAGCTAATTTCAGTTCAGTTCGTGGACCTAATTTCTTTGTAAAAATTTGTTGTCTCTGTTTGTACTCTTCCTGTCCAACAGTTGCTTTGTTTTTCCACGCTACTAAATAACATTTTTATTTTCCGTTATTCCCTGTCTAATAAAGTCATGCCCTTTTTCGGGCGACAGAAATTACTACCAAGCGGTCAAAAAAAAAAAAAAAAACAACCTCATGAACAAAATGTTGCAGCTAATTAAACATCACTTCTGCATTTGTTCTCTGTCGCCCTTTGTCTCATCCTTAACTTCGCTCCGAACTTTCGCAACGCTGCATCGCCTCGTAGCCAGTCTGCTGGTTATATTCAGTATTCAAACGCTCGTTTCTCCTTCTGAAGAAATTACCAGCTCAATGATTTCACCAGAGAAGTGCTTCAGAAAGATTTTAGCCGCTGTGAAAAAACACTGGTGTATTTTCAGCATCATAAAATTGCCTTGAATAATGCCACTCATAGACTGCAATGAGGTAC